CCGAGCTTTGAATCGGCTAATAAACTGGTTTGAGGTTTTTACTGGAGGGCAGTGATATTTCTGAACCCAGGGTGAGCTCAGCCTCGGTGAGGGTTTTATCCACAGCCTTTATTCCTGAGAGGAGCAGGTATGGAGCTCCCAGTATTGGAGCCCTGGAGCTGCATCCTGGCACGGTGGTGGGTGGCAAAGGGAACTGGGAAAGAAGATATTTGTGCAGAAAAAATCCTTCTCCCCAAAACAGTCGCCCCTGGAGTTGTCCTCAACCCGGTTGGAGGATGCAGGGACAGAATAGCGAGCCGGTGAGGTCATGGGGAGAGAGTTAGTCACATCCAACTGGGAAAGGGAAAGGGCTGCCAACCAATGTTGCTCTCACAGTGTGGAAAACTCACGTGGTTTGGAGAAGAACCCCCCTTCCTGGGCTCCCCCAGGTACACTGGCCAAGCTGCTGCCTCTGCAGCGGCTTCCTGAGGAGCTGGAGGAGATGGGGAAGGAGTGAAATCCAAATAAAACTTGTTCGGGCACAGACATGGACTTTGCTTCTCGGAACTGGGGCAATCTGGGTGAGCAGGGGTTAAAAGCTTTTTGGAATTGGAGACTATCTGGAGCTGTCACACAAGGGAGGGAGATCATGGCAGAGTTTAATGAATGACTTCATTTATATATTCCAAAAAAAAACCCCAACCCCAAAAAACCTGAAATCCAAATAAAACTTGTTCGGGCACAGACATGGACTTTGCTTCTCGGAACTGGGGCAATCTGGGTGAGCAGGGGTTAAAAGCTTTTTGGAATTGGAGACTATCTGGAGCTGTCACACAAGGGAGGGAGATCATGGCAGAGTTTAATGAATGACTTCATTTATATATTCCAAAAAAAAACCCCAACCCCAAAAAACCACACAACAACATGGTGGCTTCCTGCCAGGTCCACAGACAAGGGTTTCTATGGGAACCTGGGGGGAAAAACAATAAATAGGAGAGTGGGATGAGTAGGGAAGGGAGGAGGGGAGCCCAGGCTCTGGTCTGGATCTGCTTTGTTCCCCATGGAGAGCAAGGTGGCAAGGGGCAATGAGGGGGAGAAGGGGAAAAGGTGGTTGAATTTGCTGCTTGCAAAAAGACCCCACCCAAAATAAGGCAGGTAGCAATTATTCTATGGTGGAGTGGTCTCTTGGCCAAGTCTGGGATCTGCTTCATTCCCTGCTCCCCCATGGGCTTGGTGGGGATGGGTGATGATGTAATGACAAAACAAGGGGAAATGGGTTTAAACTGGAAGAGGGGAGGTTTAGATGAGATCTGAGGAAGAAATTCTTTGCTGTGAGGGAGGGGAGACACTGGCCCCGGTTGCCCAGAGAAGCTGTGGCTGCTCCTCCCTGGAAGTGTTGAAGGCCAGGTTGGATGAGGCTTTGAGCAACCTGGTCTAGTGGAAGGTGTCCCTGCTGCTGGCAGGGGGGTTGGAACTGGATGATCTTTAAGGTCCCTTTCCAACCCAAACCAGTCTGGGATTCTGTGATATTGGGATGTGCCCAAATGGGATAGGGAGATACAGGTCAGGCTGTGTCCCACTGCTGGTAGGAGATGACCTGCCCAGCTCCTGGGTGCGTGCCTTGCACGAGGGCATTTCTGTAAACAGGCACACAAATGCCAGGTGGAACAGCCTTTGTGGTCTGGTTTGGACCTGGCTGGGCCAGGGGTGAGTGGGGTGAGGGAGCAGCATCTGCCCTGGCATCTGCCCCGGGTACCACAGGTCAGAGCTGCCCAGCTCTGGCTGCCATCGTGGTGACCCTGCCACCACAGCGTGTCCCTTTGCCTGCATCCCTGGCAGAGCAGGAGCCAGTCCTGCACGGAGACCGGCGTTATCGCTGGAGGAGGAATGTGGCAGCTGCCTTATCGCTTCCTCAGGGATGTGAGAGGCCCTTCTCCTGACAGAGGTGTTGATATCCAGCACCAAGACACCTGGGAGAAGCCAGGGCAGGTTTTTCTCCTCTGCAGGGCAGGAAGGAAGCTTGGCCAGGCAGAGTGGGACAGGGCTGCTGCCCTCCAGCCCTGTTCCCTCTACTCCTGGTCAGGCAGGAGCAGCTCAACTGCTTAAGGAAACTCAACACCAGGGTGCAGACCTCACCCTCCCTGGGCCAAAGCTTGAGATGGAGGTGTGGGATTTCTTGCAGCACTTCAAGACCCTTTACAAACCCCTCCTGGGGTGCAAAGCTGCTTTGCAGGGAATGGAGCTTCCCAGTGGGCTTTCAGCCCGTGGAGAGGTGGCTGGTCTGGGAGGAGGGGGATACACCCAACATCATCCTCGGCATGGGAAAGGCTCTCCTCCACCTCTCTCCCAGCCCGTGTGTCCCACCTGATCCTTGCACATCAGTCGGTCCCACTGTGGAGCTGTGCTGATGGAGGTGGGGATGCTGCTTTGAGGACCACCGCTCATGGTGGGACCACTCCTCTGCAGGAGCCCCCCTGCTTGCTGGGGGGACCCCAGGCACCTCGGGGGTGGGTATCCCCAGATTTTACAGATGCTGCCTGATGGCATAAAGGATGAGTTTTCCCTCTGGCTTGGCAGGCTGACAGCGCAGTGGAGCGTGGAAGACGAGGAGGAGGCGGCAAGAGAACGGCGACGGCGGGAGCGGGAGAAGCAGCTGAGGTCCCAGGCAGAAGAGGGCTTGAACGGCACCAGCTCCTGCTCGGAGAGTGCATGTCCAGCTCAGGAAAACCAGTAAGAACCACCTGTGGATAAATCCTTCAGTGACATGCTCTGTCCTTGCAGCAAAACCCTTGACACCTATGGAATGGGTGTCCCTGCTGCTGGGGTGGTTTGGGGAGATGGGGAAGTTCCCTGATAGAATCATAGAATTGTTTGGTTGGAAAAGACCTTTGAGATCATCGAGTCCAACTGTACCTGTCCACTGCTAAACCAGATCTCTGAGCACCTCGTCTACCCATCTTTTAAATCCCTCCAGGGATGGGGACTCAACCACCTCCCTAGGCAACTCATTCCAGTGCCTGAGAACCCTTCCAGTGAAGACACTTCTCCTGATATCCAGGAAAAATGGGTTTGTGTTGGGAGATTTAACCCAGACTCACAAATAGTCTTTTGACTTTGGGCAGAAAAAGCCAGAATCCCTACTTTGCTCTTTCTTTGTGGCCAGAGGCTGGATGTTTTCCTGCCCTGAGAGGTCAGCTTAGGTAAGGCTGAGCTCAGGCAGGGAGTCCCCAGCGCCAGGGAGCTCAGCGCCTGGTTAAATTTCAGCTCGTGAATCATCCTACACCAAAACTAATGGAAATTCCTGATATGTGTGAGGACAGACATGTGCCTGAGGATGTGACACACAGCCCTGGGCAGATCACGGTGCTGGTGGCCGAGCGAGTGATCACCTCTCTCAACCCAGGGTCCCAACCATGAGGAGCATGGAGCAGCTCCTGAGCTGGTGCAGTTCACAGCTCCAAGGGTTAAACTTGATGCTTTAATGGGGCAAGTCCTAAATGGAAATAGCTCAAGAAGCATTTATGGAGATGCTGAATTATCTGCTATCAGATAAAACCCCTGGAGAAGGGGTAGGATGACCAGTCCCATCCCCAGCATCCCACCTCAGCATCCCACCACAGCCTCTCCGTGTCCGTTGTTCAGCAGCCCAGGTGCTGTGCAGCATGGGGCTGTCACAAAAACCAGTCTGCACTCTTGAGTTGCCAAAATCTGTCTTAAAGACCCCAGTCTTCCCACTATTTGTGTGTTCAACTTATTTCTAAATATATTAAACACAATGGAAAAGTGGTGGCAGGATTTGGGAGTACAGTCAGAGAGAAGCAGCAGCTTCATTTTATGGGAAAACCAGAAAAAAGCTATTTATAAAGCTATTTATTTCCATGAAAAGTGTTGCTTTGGGTTTTTTTCAGATACTTTCAGAATTATTCAAGACTTTTTTCTTTTTTTTTTTGGTCTAAAAGCCTTGCAAAGAAGCTTCCAAATCTTTTGTGGAAACACACCAAAGTGATATTCTGCAGATGAACCCACTACATTCTGCCCTAAAAGCAAACAGAAGATCTGGAAAGTAATAATCATTGTTAGCTTTTCCAAACCTCCCCTTCACACAAGGGGTGGAAAATAATTCTCAAAAGTCTTTAAAATGACTGATAAAGATTTTTGGTCTCTGCTTTATGAGATGTGTGAGCAGCCTTGGGCACAGAGCAGCACCCTGCAGCACCCCAGTAACCCAGGTCCATGGGCACTGTCTGTGCCCAAATTTCATGGAGTGGTTAAACATCTGTGAAGGGGACAATGAGAAGAAGAACTCTTAAAATGAAGAGTTTTGCTCCTTGCTTTGCAATCCTTGAGTTTGTTGGACCAGGTTTCACCAGGAAGGATGTTTCTTCTCCAGCCATCCCCTGTTTCTTCTCCAGCTGCTACTGGCCACCTGGGCTTGCTCATGCAGCTGGGGTCAGCCCTGGCTATTAATCTTCTGAAAAGCTTCAGTCTCTTGTGTAAACATCACTCCCTCCTTCCCTGGGCTCTTCCTGAGCTGGGACTCATCCCATCTGTGTCACTTGTGTTTGTGCAAACCCGCCCTTGGCGTTTCCTTGCACCAGAAGGTCAGAGCAAAGCTCCTCTCTTCCCTTCCCCCACTTAATAAAAAAAAAGAGAATTAACCCCCAAAACAGCGGGTTTGCAGAAAAAATGTGTGTAGCTTTGGGAACTGGTGGGGTGGTACATCAGCTCAGGTGGTGCTGAGGTGGCTGTGCTGGTGTGGTGCTTCTCCTGGAGCTGGCTTTGCAGAGGGGCACAGGGAAGTGACCAGTTTTCAGTTGAAAGTCTCTCCCTTAGTGCCTGGGAGCTTTTCCAGCAGCCTGAGCACATGTTTATGGCCAGGGCTGTAAATACTGGAGTGATTCTGCCTTGGGCATCATCAATGCTGCAGCTCACCTGATGCCCTGACCTGGGACTCAGCAGATCCATGGTCCCATCCTGGATCTCCATCACATTTCCTGAGCGTTGTCCTGGGATATCCACAAGCTACACATGCAGCAGAAAATAACCCAGCCTGGGCTGTGCTGTCCTAGACCAACGTGGTATCGTGCTCAGCAGCCTAAGGGGATGCTGAAGCACGGCAGGAGCTTCAGACATGTGGCTGAGCACCCATTTTTGGTGTGTACCCCCTGCTACCCTCCCTGGTGAGCCTGGTGAGGACACGTGTGTGTTCTAAACCCTCAGTTCCTGTAGTCAATTCAACATGAGACTCCTGAATCTCAGAGAAATCATAGAATCATAGAATTGTTTAGGTTGGAAAAGACCTTTAAGATCATCAAGTCCAACCGTTAACCCAACACTGACAAGTCCCTGATTAAACCATGTCCCTGAGTATTTAAAAGATGAGTAGATGAGGTTCTACCAGAGAAGGTGACTCCATCACCTCCCATTTCAGTATTGGCAGGGCTGTCTCAGCCACAACCCGTGGGCGAAATGCCCCATATTTCAAGCCACCGGGGTGATGGAGGAGGCTGAACATCTCCAGACACCTTCTAAGAGCCCAGAAAGGCAAAGGAAACACTTACCCACATTCATTACATATTTTGAATCTTTGAGTTTTAAATTAATCTGTGGGACCTGCATCCTAATTCCCATCTGCAGACAACATGACTGCCCTGCATCCCAATAACATCTGTGAAGCCACCTCCTCAGGCCAACGCTTCTGATGTGGCTGCCCACCTAGGAACCCCCAGCTGGGAGGTGATTCTCCTTGTGAACACAAGGAAAAGTTTCTCTTCTAGAAAAATTAGTGGCTGGAGAGCTGCACAGTGAAAAGGACTTGGGGGTGCTGGTTGACAGCTGGCTGAACTGCTGGCCAAGAAGGTCAACGGCATCCTGGCTTGTGTCAGAACTAGTGTGGCCAGCAGGACCACAACAGTGGTTATCCCCCTGGACTGGGCTCTGGTGAGGCTGCACCTCGAGTGCTGGGTTCAGTGTTGGGCCCCTGACTCCAAGAAGGACATGGAGGTGCTGGAGTGTGTCCAGAGAAGGGCAACGGAGCTGGGGAAGGGTCTGGAGCACAAGTGTGCTGAGTTCCCTTGTGGCTGAGGGAACTGGGGGTGTTGAGCCTGGAGAAAAGGAGGCTGAGGGGAGACCTTCTGGCTCTGTCCAAGTCCCTTGGAGGAGGGTGGAGAGAGGTGGGGGTGGGTCTGTTCAACCAAGGACCAAGTGACAGGACAAGAGGTAACAACCTCAGGTTGCACCAGGGGAGGTTTAGGTTGGATAGTAGGAAAAATGTCTTCACCAAAAGGGTTCTCAAGCATTGGAACAGGCTGCCCAGGGCAGTGGTGGAGTCCCCATCCCTGGAGGTGTTCAAGAAACGTGTATGGACATGGTTTAGTGGGCATGGTGGCGATGAGTTGATGGTTGGACTGGATGATCTGAGAGGTCTTTTCCAATCTTAGTGATCCTGTGACTCTGTGAAACAGTAAAAATCCCAACAATCTCCCTGTGCATCCAGCCCACATCTGGCGCCAGCAGCTCCCTGCTCCCTGTTCCCCGGTGGGGGGGCAGAGTCATGCAAGTGCATGTGACTGGTTCAAAGCTGTGAAGATCCAACCCAGAACTTCAGCCAGTATCCTCATTTTTGGGTCTTCATACCTTCCTTACCCAGCAATCTGTTAAGGCAGACTGCTGCTGATTTCTTTTCTCTGGGGCTGTGTACGAGCATAGGACAAGCAGCAACCCAGCTGGAAACACCTCTGATCCAAGCAAGCTAGGGCCAGCTCTGGTGCAGAACACCACCATGGATTTTTTTGGTTTTGATGTGCTCCTTGTCTTTTGCTCACCTGTGTTCAGCCCCAGAGAGCAGACAGGCAGTGAGATGTTCCTGATGGAGACATGGAGCTGCTCCTCTTCCTCTCCATCTCGCATTGATGCCCCCAGAGACCCCCTTGGTACAAGGGTGCTCCTGAGCATGTGGCAAAGACATCTTTCCTGTAACCAAGGGGAAGGCTTCAAGTGAGATTTGGGAGCAGCTGGAGGAAAGAAGATGCAATAATGGGAAGAAGAGAAGGCTGGTGTCAGGCTGGGGCTCTTTCAGGCCAGGGTTGGGGGTTTTTTTGCATCTTTCCCACCCTTATTTTCCTTCTTACTGTGTTTCAGCTATGACTTTAAGCCATCCGGGACTTCAGAGCTGGAGGAGGATGAAGGGTTCAGTGACTGGTCCCAGAAGCTGGAGCAGCGCAAGCAGAGGTGGGTAGGACACAGCTGGTCCTAGAGGAGGGGACCAAAAGTGTCCAGCAAAAGGATGGTCCCCAAGGAGGGGTTGGGGGCTGCTGGGATGGATGTCCTCCCCCTGCCTAGCAGGGAGGAACAGGCTCAGGGGCTGCTTGGGGATGTTTGGATTGAGCTTTGCACTCCAAGCAGTGGCAGCCTGCCAGGACGCCTGGATTTGGAGGAGTGACAACAGCAGATTTAAGCCACCTGAGCTGCTGCAGGGGCTGAAACGGTCTCTAACATAATCCAGGGCAGCCTAAAAAGCTGTTCAGAGTTCTTGCTGCTTCCTGGCTCATGGCAGCGTTGTAGGTGTCATGGCCCCAGCCCACCTTGTGCTGCATTTCTCGTTCAGTGGGGGGAAAACAGAAATTAGAAAAGGGTCAATTTAGGTTGGATAGTAGGAAAAAGTTCTTCAATATGAGGGTGGTGGATCATTGGAACATGTTGCCCAGAGAGGTGGTAGAAGCCCCATCCCTGGAAACATTCAAGGTCAAGTTGGACGGGGCTCTGAGCAACCTGGCCTAATTGAAGATGTCCCTGCTGATGGCAGGGGGGTTGGACTGGATGGCCTTTGAGGTTCCCACCCAACCCAAACCATTTGATGATTCTATGAAAACAGGCAGTAAAGAGCCCCAGAGATGCTGGTGTGCCAGCTCTTTAGTCCCCATCTCCCATCGCTCTCCCCTTGCTGTGCTGAACCAAACTCCTGCCTTAACCACTTCCCTTGGAGCCCATCTACCTGCATGTGAACCCTGTGACTCAGCTCTCTTGGCAGCTTGGTTTTATAGGCAATTTTACCCTGCGATGACACAACCTCTTCTTTACCCCTGAGACTGAAAAAAATGCCAAAGATTAATATTTACTGCTGAACAAATAAACAGAGATCACCTCTTTCTTACTCTTTTTTCTCCAAACACTGTAGCTGAGCCACTCTGCAAGCTCCACCTTTGTAGCCTTGACCTCACAAACGTTGCTCAAGAGCTGATCATCACATCTGTGAGAGCAATTAGAAATCAGCCCCCTCTACTTTTTGGCACCCTGCCTCTTTTTCTGCACCCCCCTTCCCCTTGCAAAGAGCTTGTCTGGAAAGAAAAGCTGCTGCTATTCCCTTCTTGGCCCTCAAAAAAGAGTTAGCTAGAAGGGTTGCATTATCCTCTCCAGAAATTGCTCCTCAGGGTTTTTATCTAATGCTTGTGTTTTCTGCTGCAGCGGGGTAGGGAGGTGCTGAGCAGGGGAGGTGGCACCCATGGCAGGTGAAGCCTATCAGAGGGGTGGTGATTTAAAGGCAGAAGCTGTAGGTGAGCAGGTTTTTGGCTGGTGGAGGCATCTGAAGGGGTTTAGACCCTGAGGGTTTGTTGGGAGTGAGCTTTTAACCAAAGCTGGGCTTACTTCCTAGTGGGTGGTTGTGCCCTGTGAAGTCCCTTCAGCAGCTTCTCTCTTTCTCCTCACTTACCTGCCTCACCCAAAGAACAGGCTTGGAACCTGATGTGAGCCCAGGTAGGTTATGTCAGGCTGGGATGCCCTGTGCTGGGACAAGAAGTGGTGTGACTGGGCTTTTCCAACTCTCTTCTCTCCTGTTTAAGTGAATATGGAGCAAATCCATATGTTTTTCCATGTAATGGGTATTTAGGTGGTGGCTGTGACTGAAGGGTTGGAGATAGTTGCTCTCCCTTGGTTGAAGCTAAACCAGTTTGTGCATCCCTGATGCTTTGTGCTGGGACAAGAAGTGGTGTGACTGGGCTTTTCCAACTCCTTTCTCTTCTGTTTGAGTGAATATGGGACAAATCCATATGTTTTTCCCATGTGAAGGGTGTTTAGGTGGTGGCTACCACTGAGGGGATAGAGATAGTTGCTCTCTCCCTTGCATGAAGCTAAACCAGTTTGTGCATCCCCTGAGGGCTTTGGTGCTAAGGCTGAGGGAGCTGGGTCTCTAGCTTGGAGAAGAGGAGACTGAGGGGAGACCTCATTAATGTTTATAAATATGTAACGGGCGAATGTCAGGAGGATGGAGCCAGGCTCTTCTCAGTGATGCCCAATGGTAGGACAAGGGGCAATGGGTGTGAGCTGGAACACAGGAGGTTCTGCTTAAACTTGAGAAGAAACTTCTTTACAGTGAGGGTGCCAGAGCCCTGGGACAGGCTGCCCAGGGAGGGTGTGGAGTCTCCTTCTCTGGAGACATTCAAGACCCGCCTGGACGCCTTCCTGTGTGATCTCATTTAGGTTCCTGCTCTGGCAGGGGGATTGGACTGGATGATCTTTCGAGGTCCCTTCCAATCCCCACCATTCTGTGATTCTGTAATTTTAAATTAACCAAAGGCACATTTTCTTCTTGGTTCTGGTCCCTCACTTTGTGAGGGGGAGATCCATGCGCACTGCCCCCCCCATGACTATCAGCTGTGTGCAAGGGTGGGAGCTGGGTCAGACTAGCTGCCTGCCATATGAAATGGATGTGGTGGAAAGGTCATCCTGTAAGACTGTATCACATCTGCTGGCCTATGATTTTAACATGAGCTTGCACTTTAGCTGGGGGTGTTGCTGGCATCCTGGTTAAGAGAAACTACTCACCTGGACCATAAAACCTGCAGAGCTAGTTTGCAGTTGATGACTGTGCAGTTGTGGGAGGATGATGAGTAGCAGCCAAGCCAACCAGTGTATGCATCAGCTTTTCCCAGCATGGTCAGTTGGGAGGGCTGGACAGTTAATGGCAATTAAATGACAGTTAAGGGCAGTTAATGACAAAACAAGGGGAAATGGGTTTAAGCTGAAAGAGGGGAGGTTTAGATGAGATATTAGGAAGAAGTTCTTCACTGTGAGGGTGGTGAGACAGTGTCCCAGGTTGGCCAGAGAAGCTGTGGCTGCTCCTCCCTGGAAGTGTTGAAGGCCAGGTTGGATGAGGCTTTGAGCAACCTGGTCTAGTGGAAGGTGTCCCTGCTGATGGCAGGGGGATTGGAACTGGATGATCTTTAAGGTCCCTTCCAATCCAAACCAGTCTGTGATTTTATGATTCTGTGACAGTGGCTGTCCTGTGAGCTGCCTTCCCAGCAGTAGAGAGGTGGGTGGAAAAGTATCACTTGAACTTTGTTTTTTTCATGTTTTGGTCCTGGTTGATGAGGCAGAAGCAGTGAGTCAGCCTCGCTGTCCCAAGCCAGGTGATTTTCTAAGAAATGGGTGGGAGGAGAAAGCTCTTCTCTGTCTGGGGGAAAATAAGATGGCAATAACATCTGGGTGCAAGGGCTGTGAGATCAGGGAGAGATCTGGGGTTATGTGCTCCCACCATCTCTGTGCCCAAAGACATGGGCTGCTCTGCTTTTGCAAGCTGATTGCTTGAACATGCTCCTGGCTCTCCTCTCTGCAGCCTTGGAGACCTGGAGGAATCTTCTTGTCCAAACCCTATTGTGGGTTTTTTTAAACCTAAGCCACGAGGTGACCCAAGCTGCTTTGGGTCCTCTCTGTTTTGCTGGGCTATGACATGAGTAGAGGTGTTGTTTGTTCTGGTGGGTGAAGCTGGGGCATGGGGTGGATGTAGCATTACCTGCCAACTGCTGTGCTTTGCCAACCAAAAAAACCCCAAACCCCTGAGAGTGGCTGTGCAGCCTGAGTTTCAGCCAGGGATAAGGAGGATCTTGGGAAGCATGTTCACATGTCATTGGTTGGATCCTCCTCCAGTGAGAAGCTCTGTTCATGTGGAAGATTAGTTAAGGGAGAGGAAGGCTGTGTTTGGTGCTCCACGTTGAACTGATGGTGGGAACTGTGAGGGCAGTGTCAGACCTCTGTTTGCACACCAGGACCACAGAGCATGTGGGCTGACCTGGGGTTTTGGCTGGAGCAGAGCAGGGAATTGAGCCAGCACCACATAATGATGGTGGTGATCTGGGGATCTGAGGCAGGACCTGGAGTTCAGGTCCATCTGGTCTTTGTTCTCCTGGGGGTCTTGCCCATGGTGAGGCTGGAAAGGTGCAGATACCTTCAACTGTGCCACAACTCTTAGCTGATCTGTGTCCTGTGTGTTCAAAGTGTGGGAGTGTGATGTGACTGCAGCTGGATGGGACCAAGGAAATTGCTGTGAGCCCTGGTGTAAAACACCCAGCAAGTTGTAGGCTTGAGGGAGTGATAAAAATGGATTTCTAGAGGTCTGAGACAACCGATGGTGTCTGTAGGCTCATAACAATGTGCTTTCCTTCTTTGACCTCTCTCCCACACCTCTAGGTCTCCACAACAGTCATATGAAGAAGAGGACAGTGGTGTGAGGGAAGCTGAAGTCAAACTGGAGCAGATCCAGCTGGATCGGGAAAGCCTGGAGGAGATCCAGGAGGAGAATGTGGTTACTGGAGAGGAAGAGAGGCTGTTCCAAGAGGAAGAACTGGTCCAAGAGCAGGAGGAAGAGGAGAGAGCTGAGCAAGAGGTGGGATCAGGAGGAGCTGACCTTCTCCTCTCCACAGGGCTGGTTGGAGAGCTGGGGCTTGAGCCCACGTAGACAATCTGTCATGGCGTGACCTGGGGCTGGTGCCACTCTTGCCTGTGTTCCTTCTTGGAGTCCCTGCAGGCAGCATCTGCCCTCTTGTGAGGGTGGTGTGTTTGCTCCCAAAGCTTGTGGTGGTTTAGTCATGTCCTTGCAATACCAAGGAGGAAAGTGTTATTATTTCTCCTGTGGTTTTGTGGGCAGTGAGTAGCTCTTCAGGACAACTTCAATCTAAATTTTATGGCTTGATTGTTGGGTTGTTTTTTTTTTTTTTTGCTCAACCTTTATTGCACCTTTGGAGTAATTTGCTTTGATATATCTCTAAATCTTGCATTGCTCCCAGCTGAAGTTTTCTTTCTTTGCTCTTCTGATGTAGAAGATGTTCTTCTGAGGTGTAATTCTTGGTAAACAAGAGAGACAAGGCTGGAACTGGAGTGGTGGGCAGGTCTGTTAGGGTGATTGAGCTGCAGGTACATTCTGCTGTGAATGGATTTTGACTTGCTGAGGCTCATGTGCTTTTTGCATTTCAACTTTGGGTGTGACTCTTTCTAGCCCTTTATTTTAATGCAGCTGCTCTTTCTCCTGGTGGCCTCTAAATGAGAAATTCCCATTTTCCTTTCTCAGTAGTGGTAAAAAGTGTTTATGAACTGGTGCAAGTTTCTATATCATTTTGGAACCTTGAACCTGCACTATTTCTCTCATTCCCCCGCCCCACCCCCCAAAAAAAACCAAAGAAAAACCCCACCTGAGCTTCTTCCTGAGTCTTTCAACATTAGATGATGTGAACTCAAAGTTCCCGTGCTCACCTGTTTGTTTACCATCAAGCAGGAAGCCTGGGAGACAGGGGGAGAAATCACTGGTGTTGCACAGTAATAAGCCCTTTGACCAGCTCACATCCTGGCTTGTTCATTTTCTGCACTCAGGAAAAGAAGAGAAGGAGAAATGAAGAAGAAGAAGAAACACCAGAAAAACGCCAGAAGGCTCCAAGCCCCATCAGCTTGGAAGAGGAGGAGCTGTGCTCTGACCACACCACAGTGTGCTCCACCAAGGTTGGTGTTTTTGGGGCTCCTCTGGAGGTGATGGCACCTATCGCCATAGGACACCTCAGTGATGGTGAGGAAAGGTGATCCCCAGGGCGTGTGGTAATGTAGGGTGTGAATTCTGTCATCCCACTCCTGCTACAGGCTGGGACAAATCACTTAGTCCGTTTCCTTCATCTTCCTTGGTTCTCAGCCTCCTCTACTTCTGCTTTCTTTGCTTGAGCTCTTGGAGGCTGTTATCTCTGCGTATACTTTGCCGATCACCATAAATATCTAAAGCTCATCGAGGGCTCCAGGGAATATTGTAATACTGAGAAAATTGAAGGTTGTGACTTTGGTCAAAGATGACACATGAACTGAATTAGAAAATGAAATTTCCCTGCTCAAAAAAAAACCCCCCAAAACTTGAAGCGCTGGAATTTCCCTCTCTTAGAACAAAATTGGAACGTGTGACTTGAGTTTTTTAAAACAAACTGGGATTCCTGCTCTCTGAAACATCACGTCCTTCCCAATCATCTCTGCATGGATGTTCTTGTGAAACTTCCATCTTTAACACTACCTGAATGGTATCTCGTGACTTCTTGTTGCATTTGCTACTAATCCTCAGTTCCATGCATGTGCTTTTAAATACAATAGCTGCAGATAAGTGGTTTCTGTAGCAAAAGGCTTTTGTCTTTGTGAGCCCTCAGCTTGTTGAGGACAGTGGTGAGGGAAATGGTCAGGAGCCCAGGTAGCCTGTTAATCTGCTCTTGGTATTGTCTTTGCTTTTTTGCATTTATATCTGTGCTGTTTGCTTCTTAGTCAATATTTACTGGATAGGGGAGGATTGTATGAGCACTTCCTCTTGCACTAGTAAATAGATTGTAAGAGGAAGGTTTCGTCATCTACAACCATCAGATTCTTGTTCTTTATGGAGGATTTCATCATCTACAACCATCAGGTTCTTGCTCCTTATGGAGGATTGAATCATCTACAACCATGAGCTTCTCGCTCCTTGTGAAGGATTTAATAATTTACAACCATCAGGTTCTTGTTCCTTCTGAAGGATTTCATCATCTACAACCATCAGATTCTTGCTCTTTATGGGGAAGCCTTTAAAAAGTCAAACAAGGGGGAAGAAAGGGTGGGTTTGGATGGAGGTCATGTGCTAATGTTAGGTTTGAAAAATGGGGTAGGGGTGGCCAAAGCATATCTCCAGAGTCGGACATGTGGGAATATGTGGGAAATACTTCCAGTGCCTTTTTATGTGCTGAAATTTTTGTCATTACAACCCCAAAGCACATGTAGCTTCCTGACCTGAGCTCAACTGCTGCTGTTAGGATGAGCCCAGGGGAAGGTTGAGAAATAGAAGGTCTCTGTGTTTTAGAACGGTGATGCCAGAGCTCTCCAACACACAACACCAAGTGTAAAGCTGTTTGGGGGAAAAATATGAGCTTGGGATCTTTCCAAAGGAAGGAGGTTCTTTACACCCTAGCTAGCAGGGTTTTATGTGAACACGAAGAATTAAACACTTTGACCACCAAGAAGGTGTTTTGGCACGGGGATCGCTCAGCAGCAACGCTGCTTGCAGTGGGAAGATGAGAACATCGGTGGTGGGTGGTGGAGGCTGGGTACACATCTAGGGCAGGCAGATGTTGGGGTGCATTGTGATGGGGTGTTTGGGCTTCAGAGGGCCAGTGTGGCCTGGGGCTTGACATGGATGGGTGATAGCAGGGGGGATCCTTGTACCCGCCCCTTTTTTTTGTCCCAGGTTGCTTGTGAGCTCTGAGTTTTCAGGTTGGCTGACTGAGCAACTGTGGTTTCTTCTGGGCTTTAGAAAGTGCTTTGGACCAGAGAAATGCACAACTCTCACTGCAAAGAATTGCCCTACAGGGGAGAGGGAGGTGGTCTCCAAATCACAGAATCACAGACTGGTGGTGGTTGGAAGGGATCTCAGGAGATCATCCAGTCCAACCCCCCTGCCAAAGCAGGTTAACTACACCAGGTTGCACAGGAAAGTGTCCAGGTGGGTTTGAACATCTCCAGAGATGGAGACTCCACACCCTCTCTGGGCAGCCTGTCCCAGGGCTCCGGCACCCTCACAGTGAAGAAGTTTTTCCTTCAGTTTGTCTGGAACTTCTGGTGTTCCAGTTTGTGCCCATTGTCCCTTGTCCTGTCACTGGGCACCACTGAGAAGAGCCCGGCCCCATCCATTTGGGAAGGAAAAGTTTGTTCCCACCTAAACTGTCATGCTGAGATCTACTGTCACCCACAGCCTGTTTCTAGGCCCCTCTGTGTTTAACTTGATGTTCACTTATGACCTTTTGGAAGTACCTGTGGATGGTTTGCTCCTCCACAGCATCCCTCTGGCAGGGCTGACAAGGTTTTTTCCTATTGATATCTTATCTGCTTGTGGTTGAGAAGCCACATGGGCAGAGATCTACCTGATTCCCCTTTGAGGTGCTGTTATGCCCCATGAATTGCCAACCTGCCCATCAATGTCCCAGAGGGATGGGCAAACCAACCTCTGAAGTCATGTCTCAGGCAAGCACCAGGTCCTCCAGCACTGAGAAAAGGAGCAAGCTGGCAGAAGGTGGACAACCTGCCCAGCAGAAACTGCTGGCTGGAGGGATATTTGTCATGCTGCTGTGTTGGGACCTTGCAGAGTGACTCTCTCCAGGCCTTCTCTTTTAGCCAGGGTTACACTGTTTGGTGATGGTTGTGCTCTTCTCTCATGGGCTTTGTGCTCTTGGGGCACTGCTGTTCAATGTGTCCTCTCTGTGACACTGTCTTGTCTTCTGCTTAGCTAAAATTCAGCACCAGCATCCTAAAAAGTGTCTTAAAATGAGCACTTAGTGCTGCTTTTTATCTGCTAACTCGGTAGGTGATGTTTCCTGTGACACAGGCAGCATAGAGGGAGAGAAGGTTCCTTGGCTCTGCAGGAGCTGCTGTTAAGAACCACCCTCCTCTTTGACTTGAAAGTGGTTTTTCTCTCTGTGTTCTTGTTTTCTGGGGCACAGAAGAGCTGTGAGGTTTAGCAAACATTTCAGCTTTCCTTTCTTCAGTGGTTGTGAAGTGTTTGCTCGTCTTCCTGTCTTGGCCAAAGAGTTTCTTGCATAGGAGCCTCTTGTGCAAAACTTCCCTGATAGCTTGACCTGAAGGGCTTCCTTGCAGGTGGCTCCACGTGCTGACTTGGTCTGTCTTTGCACTTCTCTGGTGTGGATAAGCCACCATGGAACTGATGCTCTTCTGATGCTCTTCTGATGCTC